TATTTGCTGTATGCTAATCACTTTTAAAAATATTGAGATGTAGTCAATTAAAATGACCTGCCTAGTAATAATTCCTTATATGATGCATTATTTTTCTGGATTCTATGTCTGTAGATATAATCCTATTTTGGAAAGAGTGCTCTGCTAATGGGCAGGCTTATGATGGTATTAAGTCTCAAACTGAGTAGAGTGTGAACCAAGTCTCCCTTTGTTTCATTGGGAGTACGGTCAGCATAAAGGAAAAAACACATATTGCCATCACAGCCATTCCTCTGTGCACAAGAGAATCTTCAAAGCAAATACATGCCCTAGGACTCTAATGAAATGCCCCACCAGTGGAACATATCTGAGATTTCTGTCAGAAGTGGCAGAGGCTAAGAGCACCGCACTAAAGACTGATGCCCGGAGACAGAGTAAGGACACCATGCAGAGACCAGAGGCCCAGGCAAGGAGACCACAAGACAGAGGAGCAGCACCTAGAGTATGCGCCTCTGGAAAGAGCTGCAAGCTGCCTCCCTGAGCCATGGAGGCAGAGGCCAAAGGACCAGGTGTTCGAGAGTCTGAAGGCCAAAGAGAGACATGGCTGCTGGCTGACCAGAAGTGATGTTGTGGACCGATGACTAGATCTTACTGTTTACTGATCCTGGCTTGTGGAAACTTATTAACTACCCGAATAAAGTCCCTTCATTGTGAATATTATCAAAGAGTTCCCTTGGCTACTGCAATGACTCACAGAATTCAGCAGGAAAGCAGTGTCATGAGAAGGAATGGTTGGTGTAAGGACAAGTGAAAAATAATGGCAGCGTGGATGCACGAGTGACCTCGGCTTTGTGGCTATAGGGAAGCCAGAAGTGGTCAGATACATGCCCACCACCCCTGCCCCGTTCCACTTACTGCATCTTCCATATATTATGTGATATAATTCTTGGAAAAACATTTTCAGTTAGGTATCATGACTATAGGAAGTCAGCGTTGGTTCATTAGTAGAATTTTCACTGATATGGGTGCCACGGTCTAATTCCCAGCCAATACACCTCATTTGAAGCCATCACCCATCTGCTAGTGAAGGGCGACATGCAGCTCTGATGCAGACCAGGTTTCAGCAGAGCCTCCTGATCAAGGCAGAGTAAGAAGAAAGGTTTGGCAATTTACTTCTGAAAATCAGGCAATAAAAACTCTATGCATCACCACGGTGCCATGGGCACTGGATCTTGGGTATGACGGAGAATCGGGAAGTAGTTTTACTCCTTTGTGCCTGGGATCCCTGTGAACCTAGGGCTGACTCAATGACAGCAAATAGCACCATGATTTTCCCTCCATCTCACAGATGAGAAACGGAAGCACAGCCGAGCTTGCCCAATCTCACAGAGCTAGCTGTTTAGTAAAAATGGAATTCTAAACCAGGCCGTCCATGTTGGCATCCACAACACGATAGTGCATCTCTGAAAGGAAAGTCTATGATTTGAGAGGGGATTGTTTATTTACACATTCCTTTGGAGCATCTGTGAAATTGATCTAAGGGGAAGATTAAATTGGGATACAGTTAGGTGGCTCTGGAGGAGGGAACTGCCCTTGAGAAACAAGAAACTGTTGTTTTGAATAATTACTTTCCTCACCCGGGTCACATAAGGTCTCGTTGAAAAGCCTCTTGGATTAGATTGAGTGAGAGCTGTAGTTGCAATGATTGCCAAGTAGACTGAAATGACAGAAGAAGTGACCTCACTGGAACAGGGCTGCTCTCCAGGAGGCAGGAGGCACAGTAAACGGGGGAATTTTAGGGTAATTTGAACAATATTTGCAGTGCTGGAAACGCTGGTTGTTTCTGCACAGCATGCAGCAGTAGCAGGGAGCCTTTTTTAGGGCACTGTTCTCATCACCTAAACCTTGCAAAGCTTAACTGACTGCAGGATAATTAACCCTCCCTGCATACTGGAAGCTCTTTTAGGTCCACTTCTGATACATTAAGGAAAAGAAAGAAAATCATCATTTTCATGTTGAGCAGCCTGGCCTTTAGATGCTGATTTTTGACAAAGTGCATCCCAATAGGAAACAAACCCACATTTCTTATGGACAATTCTGAGAGAAACCTATTATTATCCCCTTTCCCCATTTTGGAGAGCATAAAATTGTAATATACTTTGTAGATTTTGCTATCTACAATGCCTCAAATTGGGGAGGTGGGCAGAATTAGAATCATAATATGTTGGCTCCAGAAGAGATCACTTGCCACTAAGCTCACTCTCTTATTTTATATTATTCATACCTGCCATATCAACATAGAGCATGTTACATCTCAAGGAAATACCAAGTAGAGTGTTCAGCACTTTCAGATTTCTTACTGGTCTTAATGCTTTTCAAACCATCAATCGATGGTCTTCAATTCAAGTTCTTTTCACTAAAATAAAAATGTTTTGTGGCTCTCAAATTCAGCATGGTTTTCACTGAATGCTTGCAATAAATAACAAATGATTTTAGATCTAATAAAAGATAATGATTTGTGCTTTATCAGTAGGGATCTACATCAGCCATAGGGAGAATATCACTGGCATTTGTACATGCAACTGAAAAAGAAAGTTACCTGGCATGATGTTGTTGTGTGAGGTGTCATGGATCAGTTCCAATTCATAGTGACCTTGTGTACAGCAGAACAGCACGTTCTCACAATTGCTGTGCATGAGCTCTTTGTTGTAGCCACTGTGTCATCTATCTCATCGAAGGTCTTCCTCTTATCTACTGATCCTCTGTTTCACCAAGCATGTGGTCCTCTTTCAGGGCCTAGTCCCTCCTGATGACTTGTTCGAAGTACCTAAGACAACATCTTGCCACCCTTGCTACTAAAGAACATCCTGACTTCTACTAGGCTTGCAGACCATCCATGCATGGGTTTATTCCAAACAACATTTGTTTAAATATCTCTCTGTGATCAGTAGATGATTGCAGTTCAGTTCACTCGGCAGTACACTGATGTTCATCTTATTAGGGTTCTTTTGAAAAGGGTTCAATCAATTAATATCTTCTGAGGGATCAACTGAGCCATTGACATTTAAGGCAACTAGGGCAGCTCAGAAGTTAATATCAAGAACATAATACTTAAAGCAAAGGGTGATGAAAGACACAGGAAACAAAGAAAAACCAAAGAGGGTGTCCAAAGCAACTCCTGAACTTATACTGGGCATAGAGTATCTAAAGGAAATGGAAGAAATGAAAGAAATGAACTGTACAGATTTCAAATTGCAAGGTGAAAAGGTTACATAACTACGTGTGAAAGACCAGTTCAAAATCCAAAAGGGAAGAACATAATTGGCGTTTCTCAAGTTTAAAAGCTGATGAAAAACTGTAAGCCTTTAGTTAAAATATTGGAGAGTTCCATGGACCAAACATTGAAGAATACAGGAATCAACAAAATGTGGATTATATCTACAGTACCACAATGGATTGGCCAAAATTCAACCATTTCATGAGGTACCATATAGAGGACACATGATATACACGGGTGGAAGTGATTAATTGTGTGGTCTAAGTAAGGTTTTGCAGAAAAATGTTCACATAAAAAGATGTTATGGGTAAATAGATGTTTGTTACGGTAGTGATGGTAGAAAATAGGGCATTTCTGAAATGGGAAATGTATGGAAACGAGCTGAGCTGAGAAAGGTAGGCAGTTTGTCATGAACAAACACACTCCCATAGGAGAAATGGAAACTGCAGATGAGCATTGAAAGTCTGTAGATGTCACAGTAAAAACAGATCCTGTACTCAATATTATTAATGGACAGTTGATCAAAAAGAATACACTGGGGTTAAGATTTGCCCTAATGATACAGAGAGTAGCTTGCATCTAAACATATTACATGAAAAATTCTATGTCATTATGTCCCCTGGCTGTCATATTAAAATTACCACAAACTTGAGGGCTTAAAACAACACAAATTTATTACTTTAAAGCACTGGAGTAAGAAGTCCAAAATGGATCTGATGGAATTAAAATAAAGGGTTGGTCAGGATAAGTATCTTCTTGAGTTTCTCCCCCCACCCCGCCCAAATAACCAACACCCGTTTTCTTGCTTTTTCCAGCTTCCAGAAACCACTTGCAACCCTTGGCTCAAGATCTTCATCGTTCAAAATCAGAAATGGCTAATATAGTCTGTTTTACACCGTATCATGTCGATACTTTCCCTCTGCTGCCTCCCTCTTTCATTTATTAATTGATCCCATTGCCATAGGATCAATTCTGGTTTTGAGCAACCCGATATAATATTCCCAAGACTGTGCATATTTACAGGAACATCGCCTCATCATTTTCCAGCAGGGCAGCTGACAGGGATGAGCTAGTAGCCTGCTATTAGTCCAAGCATACTCCAGAGTTCCACTACAGCTCCTCTTTTCATTTATAAAACTCAAAATTCACTGGTATCTAGTTCATTCGGACTCATATTGATCCTATACGACAAAATAGAAATGCTCCCATATTTCCATGACTGCTAATCTTTATGGGAGTAGAAAACTGCATCTTTCTCCCTCGGAGTGCCTAGTAGTTTCAAACTGCTGATCTTTTGACTAGCTGCCCAATGGGTAACCCATTACACCACCACAAATCCCTTCAGAACACTTATAACCACACTGGGTCTGCATGCACAATCTAGAGCACTCTTCCCATATGTAGATTAGCTGATTAAAAATCTTAACTCCATCTGCAATGGAATTATCCTTGGCCATGTAGTCTAACATTTTGAAGGTCTATTATTCTGCTAAGTACAAATAGTTTCATATTCATTGATCAAACTGATTACATTTTCAGTTCTATAATATTGTACGGTGATGACAATGATTATAATAAGTCACTGGCTTATCCTATAAGAGATTATAGTTATAATGAAAATATATTTTCACAGAGGTTCTAAAAATGTATGAGACATAGACAAGGACTCAGTTTTCTTGAGAAAATGACTCATTAAAGCAGATGCAGGATTACTTCATTTCTATCAAATTACCTTTTAATTTTTAGAACAAAATTTGACAGATTTCATTTAAACCACTGGAGATTAATTTTAAATCATAACAGTTAGTGTAATGGCATATTTTAACAGAATGTGTAGCACAATTGCATATTTTTGAAATAAAACCACTGCTTATATACTTTTTTAAGCAGAATATCTTAGGGATCGACAGAAGTTATACCTATCAGCAGATATGCTTTGATAATAGAAAACTGTCAGAAAATAAATCCGACGTGAAAAAAAAATCATCTGTTATCACTGATTTCTTTGTTATACATAACATTTATTAAAGTATATTTTTCTGAACAGGAAACAAATAGCAATCCACTTTATGAGTACCTTCATATAAACAATGACCTTTAAAATCGTAAGTGAATAGAGAATATTGCATGAGAACTATAGTATTTTTTAAATTAAAAAATAGAAGAATTCAAATATCCTAGCCTAATAAGCTAAGATCATTTTCACTATACTGAAAGGTTGTAGCACAGATGATGTCTGTTTATGTACATTATTTTTACATTTAGAAGTGTGAATAATATTATACCCTGACACATTTTTGTTTTACTGATTAAGCATTTGTCGTACATTTCATGATAGAAACCATATCTACTTTATTCTTATGTTAGCTTTAAACCAGAATGCTTGCTTTCTCCTTCATGGAAACTTCATTCTTTTAGAATATTAACAAAGAAAATAAAGGTCTAAATTGTTTTAGAGAAATTTAACTTTTCACCTCACAAAATGTTAAAATGTTTTTATTTGGTTCTTTATTTTGTCTCCACAATTACTCTTGTAGTTTACTGCGGGGGGCATGGGGTGGGGACACACTTCATAAATCAGGTTTATTCGAAATACGTCTCACTGTTATAACAGTCATGCCTTTCCCACTATTTTATATTCTGTCCCTTCATTCTCTTATGTTCCACTTTCTGTAACGGAACTCATTACCAAGGTGGTAGGGGACTAGTTTCAAAGGCAACATGAGTCACAAAAATATCAAGTCAGTAGTTTCCTTCAGGACATTCATATATTTCTTGTGTTAGAAATAAAATCTTTCCTTGGGCGCAGTGATATCACTCCTGAGAAACCAATTACTTTCCAAATATCTTTCGTTCTGTTCTTGACATAACTAACTATGCCATGTAGGAAAACATACTGTAGCTATATGGCATGTAATTTAGACTCTTATGATTTAAGTTCCGACACTATCGACAGGGAAACTAATTTAAAATATCGAGTTACCCAATAATTAATAATGTGACATGTTGATTGAATCTTTATTTGATAATTAGCCTCAGCTTGGGTCTTCTATTTCTATGTAGCTATAATTATGCATATTTCTCCATGCTTATCTTAAGCATCCAAAACAACAAGGGACATTTTTGAACAATCTGTAATATTCTTCTTGGATCTACGGAAAAAAGAGAAATAAAAGTAATAAGGAATAAAATAATTACATGGAATTATTTTCAAGTCACATCTAAAGTATTGCTCCTGTTTTGACTATCCTATAGGAACTAAAATAAATTAATACTTATATTACTTAATCAACTTTTCAAAGCACATTTCTTGTGAACAGCTAAGAATTCTGTTTTTTTTTTCATTTAAATAGTAAATTTAAGCAATAAAAGCATAAGCCATGAACCCTGAGAATGACAATTTTCTGTCACTTTGAAACTGATGCTATCTGAACATCCTGTTGTTTTGTTAGTGCCATTAGGAAGGCTCTGAATCATAGCTATGCTGTACCCAGCAGAACAAACTGCTGTCTCATCTGTGCCACCCTCCACGCATTCCTCTGTTTGAGCCCATTGGTGTACTCCTTGTGCCATCCACAACATTGAGAATCTTTGTCCTTAAGGATGACCCTGTAGTTTACTAAGCATGATATTCTTCTTGAGAGGTATCATGAGACTGGTCCCTCCTGATAAGGAATTCAAAAATATGTGAGAAGCAGTCCTGCCATCTTCACTTCATTTCCCTTAGCACCCCCCGCCCCACACACATGCACCCTCCCCCCGCCCCCTGTCCATTTACCCAAGAGGGGAAATGCACAGGGAATCTCAGTGTTCAAAGAATGTGCTCCCCTCTTGACTCTCTCTTTATATTTTGAACTTCTATTGTAAATTATGTGAAGGGGTACAGAGCAGATAATCAGTTTTACACTCAACAATTCATGCACATTTGGTTTCAACCCATCCGTTGCAATACCCAAAATGTCCCACCGCTTCTCCCATCTTCTAGAAGTGTTTCCTGTTTCCTTTCCCCTTCCTTTCTCATTTTCTATGATCGGCATTTAGAAAAATGTCACTCCTTAAATTTGAAGTGGTTGACTGTTCTAAAACAGGGGTGAATTCAGTTCCAGATCTGAAGCGGGACTAAGGATCATGATCTTTGGGGATTCACTAATTTCTGTCCTAGACCTAGAACCCTCATTTCTTTTATGACTTTGCGTTTTGTTTCACATTTTTCTCCCTCTATGCAGGATCTTCTACTGGGATCATTTTTATAGTAGGTGGTAGAGGTAGGTGGGCACCATCTCATTCTTCTGGTTTCAGGGTTGTGAAGATTTATGTTGGTGTGCTCCTTTAGTTCATTGGACTCACTGCTTCCAGATGTCTTTTGATTTTTGTCATTCTTTCCTCAGGACAGGACGAAACCAATAGTTCCACTTTATATGGCTGCTCAGAAATGGTTAAGGCTCTAGTTTCTAACTCACCAAAGTATGATGTAGCATATTGTCCCTGTGAACTATGTTTTCCTTGACATGGCCATCTTTGTTTCTAAGGAGCAATCTTCCCATACTTCTTCCCAAACAGATTCGTATATACTATAGGACCGGCCAATTGAAAAAAAAATTGCTTACCTTTCTTGATAGAACACACAAGAATAAGAAAATAAACATTCCTTGGAAAGCATTGCTGACTGTGAAGAGGTAGGCTGTCACCACTGACGCATGGACAACATGAAGAACCCCAAAGATCCAGGTGGTACCAAGAAGGAAGAGGAGAGCTAAGGCGCCTCTTGCACAAGACCTGTAGAATATTTAATACGTCTCAGTTAAAAAAGACATGTATGGTCATTCCATAGACTGTCCAAGCCAATTTTGACCCATCATGACACTTTATTGGGCTTCCAACACTGTCAATCTACAGAAATGGACAACCTACTCTTTCTGCCGCGGAGAAGTTTGTGGGCTAAAAACAACTACAGCATTGTTTTGTGGAGCTGCGCAAAGCTTAAGTCAGTGCCCCGAATTCATTTATATACTCAGCATAGTCCCTAGTTCCAAAAATTATGAAGGGAATGAGTTTGGGCACAAATAATTGTTTTTAACAAAGACACAATGATTTTTAAACTTTCAACAAATTGTGCTGCAGTTACATGGGCTCTTCTTTAGGGTATGCTACTGCACTGTGGTGAGGACATACTTCCGAAAACAAGACATCCTTATTAAAATAAGTTATTCTTAAAACAACTTTCTCTCTCTGCCTTGAAATAGTTTCATCTGGTACACTGTAGTATGCTTACTTTGATGCAAGTCTAATGCTGCAGAAATCCCCGAAGGTATAGTATATATCCGTTAGGAAATATTTCCCTAAGAAATCTTGAAAGTATACCATGTGGACTTGGGTCAGCGTATGTGCATGACATCAAAGGAGGCTTATGCTTTCCTTTCAGATGTGCTCGAGAAGAAAGTGTAGGATGCAATCACGCACACAAAATAACCCATGTGAAAACACTGATCTCTTAATCTTTTCACAATGCACACACACACTAAAAATTCGTCTCAATTAAAATATATGCATACTGTCATAAACAATATTCAATCCCACTCACTGAGGACATTGCCTTGAAAATGAGACAATTAATATTTATTTTCTCACTCAGTCCTTCCTCATCCAATAATTTTTCATAGCAGGTGTTCTATGAATCTGCTTCCAAAAAGGAGTCATTTGCAACTTTATTAAAACTAGCACACTACATAAAATCATGAATGTTGAGGAGTAAAACAAAGCAATTTATCAAGCAGTTTGCTAAATCCTAAATACAAATCTTGTGAAAAAGTATTAAAAGCACATGAATGTTTCCAAGCAATGCAGTCATTTTTTCCCCAATGTCCCTACAGTTCACTTTACCTTTTTCTGAACAAAACATTTTTTTGTTTGTTTTTATCTAATCATCTTATTGGGGGCTCATACAACTCTTATCACAATCCATACATACATTAATTGTGTAAAGCACATTTGTACATCCATTGTCCTCATCATTCTCAAAACATTTGCTCTCCACTTAAGCCCTTGGCATCAGCTCATTTCGCCCCCTCTCTCTCCACTTCCCCCTCCCTCATGAATCCTTGATAATTTATGAATTATTGTTTTGTCATATCTTACCCTGTCCGACATCTCCCTTCACCCACTTTCCTGTTGTCCATCCCCCAGGGAGGAGGTTATATGTAGATCCTTGTAATCGGTTCCCCTTTTCCACCTCACCCTCCCTCCATCCTCCTGGTATTGCCACTCTCACCACTGGTCCTGAAGGGATCATTTGTCCTGGATTCCCTGTGTTTCCAGTTCCCATCTGTATCAGTGTACACCCTCTGGTCTAGCCAGATTTGTAAGGTAGAATTGGGATCATGATAGTGGTGGGGAGGAAGCATTTAGGAAATAGAGGAAAGTTGTATGTTTCATCGTTGCTACCCTGCACCCTGACTGGCTTGTCTCCCCCCAGCGACCCTTCTGTAAGGGGATGTCCAGATGCCTGCAGATGGGTCTTGGGTCCCCAATCTGCACTCCCCCTCATTCACAATGATTTGATGTTTGAACAAAACATTTTTAAGGTCTCTATAAATCAGTTTTTAAGGGAAGTTTTTGTAGTAAAAATCAAAGCAACATGCAAATTGGGAGTTGAAAAAAAGAAACAGAAGGTATGAGCAACTTTTCGCAAGACAAAATTCCTAAGACTTTCTTTTGTCTTAAGTCATTGCTTTTCCTCTTTCAAGGAAGACAAAATTTAAAAATAATATTTTACTTGTCATCTCATCATTTGTTATAGTGTTATTAAAACATTAATGAGAATTTGACAATTAGTATTTATTATAATTCAGGTATTTTAAATATCATCGAAGAAAATCAATTGAAAACAAAATTTTCAAACATTGCTTGCAGTTTAAGTTTGAGAATGAAAACCCTAAAATTAAGTATCTAGAGCACTTGCTGAAGTATAGCTAATTCTGACCTGAATTTAAACACTATTTTAAAAAACCAAACAAAGTATTCTATTAATCCTGGGTGTGTGCCTGTGTGCGGGAAACAGTGTGGCATTTAGAGAAATGTTTTCTTCCTAACCAAGCTAAACAAGCCGTTCCCAGAGATAATACTGGACAATATAGCTATGTTAGCTGGAAGAATATTCTATGATTGCATTGAATGTATTCTTCAAACTACTATAGTTACAACATTGTAATGAATAAAGATCACAAATCATTAAGTAGTAATTAATAAAAATTTATACCAATTATTATAAAAGTGTCTGTTTTATTAATCAGTCTTTGACTTGTATAAATCACTAATAAATCAATCAGTATATTATATTGTTAGATCCTGGTTTAACAATATAAATATTGCCTAGATACATGCAACTTCATGGAGAGCACAATTCACTTTGTAGATTCTGCTTATTCTATTTAAACTATGTCTTGCCATCAATAATTCTATTTTCATCCTTAATCAGAGTAAGAGTTTATATTATTCTGACTTCATAAATGATATTAAAAGGTGCAACAATGCCAGTGAATCCCAGATGATCAATGAACTAAACACTGGTTCAGGGCATAACCTTTGAAGCTATCTGCTTCCACTGCTCTCTAGGGACCACCAACAGTTGAATGCCCTATCAAATTGGACTCTACCTTCTTGCATTGGGTTTTCTATTTGTTTGCTTCAGAGATATATTGTTGGCTTCCAGGCCTGTTTTCAATATTGTACTATGATTGATCAGTGCTCTATGTTCATTTTTGAGCATTCCAAATCACAGACAGAGGTGGCATCTCCTTCGTTTTTGTGATGTTATTTGCTCTTCCCTTTCATGTGCACATTTAAGGGTCCCAAAGCGAGCAGATGATTCTTAGGGCTCTCTAAGGAATTAATGAGTAATCAATACTGGAAGTGGGTGTTTCTGCCTGGGATGTACTTTAGTACCTTCACATTACTTTCCTGACTAAGGAAAATTTAAGTTAGTAGCCACTTTCAGGATGTTTTAAATTCTCTACTCTTTTTACTGTGTTTGTTTGTTTTAAGCATTTTTAAACTAATTAAACACAAATTCTAGAATCTGCTATCTGTTAAATTAGGATAATGATATCAAAGAATTCCTGGATAAATTCCAATAAACTCAGTTTCTGAAACATTTACATTTTATAGTATTATGTGATCTGGGTTTTAAGTTAGTCTCACAGACAAAGAAGCTGATATGACTCTTCTATTTCATTTTGTTATGGGAGCTCATTATGTCTAAGCCCTGCTTTACATAAAATGAGCAGATATATCTAGTTTGTGTTTCTCTTTTTCCCCAGAGGCCTACTTAAAATGTAAGCTCTTTTCTCATCCAAGAAAAATTGCTTCTTATTCCTGAGTTTTTTAGTTACTACTTTGAGACTATTTTATATAAATTAGTCTACTTGAAATGTGCACCGAATAAGATAAAATAGTAAGTAACTTAGGCTAGATAATATATGAACTATGTTTAAGAAAATGAGTGATTCCAAAAAAAAATTCCACAGTGGAAGCATGAATTCATCTTTCACTTTTCAAAATGCTTTGATCATCCTAAACTTTCTTATTAATGAACATCTGACACCAGTACTACTCCAGTGAATGTTTAAAAGACTCTTCCTAACCAAATGAAAACCTCCTAAAGACGATGGAAGTATATATACCATTTGTATAAACATTACTTCAATAGTAATTGTATTATATGAGCTTAAATTAATTGCTATGATTTTTAGGAAAACACAATATTAATTGAGTTATTTGAGAGTTAATATGATTAAAATGTATTAGCTGTTACTTTTTATGCAACAAATAAAAGTTATACTCCAATAAGTGTTCATTTTTATTACTCAAAAGTTTGTACTTTAAAAATAGGCAGCAAAGATAAGAAAACCAAAAATTTATTTTAAAGAAATGTATTGACCAATTTGGTAAATTTTTATTATGTTAATTTATAAGAATTTTAAATCAAATAATACCTAAAACCAAGAGTTGAGTGTATCATTGTTAACCACATGCTATTAATCATTAGATCACAGGTTTAATTTTATTCATAGTTCAATATGTCTTGAAGACAAGTGAGGAAATTTAAATAATTTATCCATAGTTGTTCATTATATAGAAATTTAAATGTTTAGATATTTGATAACATTAATATATACCAGATAGAACCTGATTATTAACTACTATGTCTCACAATATATCTGGAGACATATAAAATAAAGTTTGTCATAAGTTAAAATATATTGTAACATTTTCTATTGGTTTTATTTGGTGTCACATCACTTCCTCTTTTAAAAAATATTATTTTAATGCGGGCTCATACAATTCTTATCACAATCCATACATACATACATTGTGTCAAGCACATCTGTACTCCTTGCAATTGTGAACTGTGCTGTGATGAACGTTGGAGCACAGATGTCCGGCCTTGGTTTGTGGTAGCTCAATTTCTATCTGTTTTAGATATCCCCAAATCGATTTCCATAATGGCTGTACAGTGAACCCTTGCCACTTCGCGCTTCGACTTCCGCGGCTTCACTCTATCGCGGTTTTTGCATAACAGCTGTATGCTCTGTCATTACTGCCACTAATTGACTCATACTGTACACGCTTCTGTCTGCATCGCTACGTATCAGATACATTTTTGCTTTTGTACAGTGTACTGTAATTGTTTGCGATTTTTAAGAAATTTTATCTGAGCCCTGTGATGGCTCCTAAACGAGCTGCTTCTTCTAAGCCTTCTGACAATAAAAATAAGCGCC